TCCCGTGCCCATCCTGCTCCACTTACTTGTGTTCATCCCACACTCCCCGTTCCTATCCTGCTCTCCTCCCGTGCCCACCCCGCTCCTCCCGTGCCCAGCCCGCTGCCCACCTGCCAGCCGGGGTCCCGCGGGCTGGGCGCCGCCTCCAGGGACGCTCCGCGGCGCGGTGCGGGGTGCATGGCCGGGCAGCTCGGGGCAGCGCCCGGCCCCGCCGGCTTTATGCAGGGGCGAGAGCCGCCCCCGAGCGAGGGGAGGGCTGCAGGGAGGCGGGGGAGGCGCTGCCCGGCCCAGCTGGCAAAGGGGCAACCCGGCCCTCTCCACGACGTTCGCTCGGTTTGCAGAGCAGCGATGCCCGGGCGCAGCCACCACCCGCTCCCCGTCACCGCAGCCCGGAAAAACCCGCACAAGAAGAAGCCCTTCGCCTCCTGAGTTACACCTCCCCGGTCACCCGGACAGGGTCACCCAAGAGGGGTCACAGGAGACTGACTTGTCGTGGGTAACTCCAGGGGTTTTGCAGGTAACATAAATTTGCACACCATCGTGTCCACACAGGCGCTTCCCATCACTCCCGCACTCCCTGTTAAATGCTGCCTGTGGGATAGGGAAGGCAAACTGCATCAGAAGGGAGAGGTGGTGGGGGCTGAGCACTTAGCAGAGGGGCTCTGAGCAAAGTGGCCTCCAAGGCTACGGGGGACCCAACAGTGGTGGACACCCCCAAATTCTCAACAGCACATAGTGCAGGTTGTAGTCCCAAAGAGGAACACGGTGGGCAGATGTATGGAGATCTTCACTAAAAACAGCAGTGCATTTCTGCTGTGAAAATAAATTGTAGCATATTCCTTCTTTTCTCAAAACCTCCTGTGCATACAGGAAGAATAACTACATTTCTATTAGCAGAAAACTACATATCTTCATATCATTTATGTTGTCATTTATTTTCTGCATATATCTAGATGTGTTTATAGTATAAAAACTCATGGTTTTTTTGCTCCAGTCCTCACTGTCTCAACTTGGCAACATTGAGATAAGGGGATTTTGGTCCACAGCAGAAGACAAAATGTTCCCTGGGAACATAATCTCTTGGAGATGTTAGGGGTCTCTTAGGGAGGAGAGATTGATGATTTTCTATTTGAGCTGTCCAAAACCAGACTCTGATCCTTCTTATATACTGTTTGTTTCTTTTTTTGAATGAACCTTTCAAAGAAATGCTCAAAATCAGCAACTAGTTTCACTCAAATATACTTAAGGGTCTGGAGGAAAAATCCCCAGTATTTTTCCCTTCAGTTCCTAAAAAGGTTTTGAGGTTCTTCTCAGCTAGATCCCTTAGACACTAGTGTAACACACCTGGTAAATCATACTGATGCCAATATACAGGGTGACACCTAACCCAGGCAGGCACAGTCATACTTGCACCAACATCTGCAATGATGATATCAGAGTTCTTCTTCCTAGAAGAATTGAACTTCAAACAATCCTGTTTCTAGCTGGAAACAGTGACTAGCTCAGCCCTTCAAATGCAGCACAGGATTGAAAGAACACAGCTGTGAACAATGACATAGCTGGAAAAAGCCTTTTTTTTTTTTTTTCCAGTTTGCTAATGGGACATATTTCATCACCAGATGCTTCAATTTTCCCTGCATAAAGAAAATGCAGTATTTATCAATATATGTCTTATGTCTACAACAGGCATTTCCCTTCCTTCCAAAAGAATAAATCTCCCCATCAAATGAGCTGACTCAGAAAGCAAACATTTTGTAGAATCTTTACCCAGACCCCTAAGTGTGTGAGAACCTGGTGTTAATGACAAATCTGTAAACATGGGCACAGTAAGACGCTTATGATAGAATATGACTAACCTGTCAATTTTCCCTAGCTCAAATGAAGCAATAATAATGGGGAACCCACAGGCAGCCTGACCTATAACTGCTGAAACAATGGGAACGAGGTCAGACATGGCCAAGGAAATTTAACCTAATATGAAATTTATTAGTTACATAACAAGATAACCGGGGTGCCCAGAGTTTTGGGGAGCAGATTAAAACTGATTCACTGGTTTAGTAAGAAGTGCTTGTTCACCACAGCCAATGCCCTGTGGTCTGAAAGGGCAGAACCACAAAGCATGAACAGACTCGATTACAGCCTGTTTCCACTGGGTGCTCACTGGAGCCTGCTCTGCTCCTCTCCACACAGGCTTTCCAGCTCCTAGGAATCTGTGGATGGCTTTACAGGAGAACTACTTAAAAGGTTTTCTCCAAAAGCTAAATCTTCATAGTTCTAGAGTTGCAGGGTTTTGGAAAACCCTCACCCTGACACTAGTACAGCTGCTGCTTTGTGTTTTCACACACAGAGAAAAATTTCTACCTTTCTTCAAAAACTGGTAGTATATTCTACCATTTAAGAATGGTGGCTTGAGCCCCTCACTACAGAAGAGAACGATATGGCACAGCAGTCAGGTATAGAGACAACATAAACAGGGCAGCAAAATGCATAGGAACTACTCTGCTCATCCTGGCACAAGCAAACACTGACCCAGAAAAGGTCTGAAATGTAACCTCGTTGGTCTGCAGGAGCACCGAGGCAAAGAGAGGCCAAACATTTCCAGTGGGATGTCAGAAATCTACACAGACCCTGAGGTGGGAAGGAACTGTGAAGGACAGAGACAACTGGGGCATCAAAACCATAGGGAGAGAGGCCTCCCCTTATGCCCCAGGAGATAAGGCAATACAGTGATTGATTTTTCTCTAAAGCCTGCAGGAGATTTCTCACATAGAGCCTCTGATGCAGACAAAGCCCTCCAGGCAGATAATCAGCACCTGAGAATGGAGCACAGGTCTGACCCTGCTCAGAAGTGGGTCAAGCTGAAAATGCTTTGCAGGACAGGGCTTTGCCATGTGCAGCTGCCACAAAACCTCTCTCAATGTCACAGCAACCATGGCACTGTGAAGGCTACCAGAGTGGCTTTCAGTTACATTTTCCCTCCTAATTCCTCGTTAAATGAATTATTCTCACTCAGATCCAAGTGACAGGGTGGTATCAGACTGAAGTCCAATGTTTTCACAGTCCTTTGCTGGAGTAGCTCCAGGAACATCAAGCATCTCCAGAAGAGACCATGAGTCTATTCCTCCTTCCCATCTGCTAGCTCAGAGGTGACTCTGCTCTAGTTTTCAGAGTTTCTGTTTTGCTCTTCCAAGCAGAAACTTGACAGCTGAGTTTGCAATCAAACAGTGGTTCTGACACTTGGGGGTACACATTTGTAGATAAATACTCTGGAGATTTTTAAGATAAGCAGAATTAAAACCAAGCTGTCACACTTGCAGGTTTCCCCTCCCTAGAGAGCCAAAAGTAAAGGGATCCTTTTTGCTCTCTGAAACACAACAACATAAACCTTCTGCCCTACCTCTCCTCTTCCTCCCACTCTGAGAAAGTTTGCTCTCCAAGGGTCAAATACAGGGGACTCAACTAACCTGGCACATCTTTCCAGACATGGCACAAGTCTTGTATTTACCAACACTCCGAGAAAGCTGGCCTGGGAAGGGAGAATAAAGGTGGAAAAAAAAAGTAAAATCAGTGTAATAAAGGGGTTCTGCTCTGGGGGAGAGACAGAGTCAGAAGATGAGTTTGTTGAACTGGTCAGGCAAGAGCATGGAAAAGCAGGTTGAGAATTAATCTTCTGCTGAAATAATTATCTACCAGAATGCAGCAAGACTGATGGAGAGAATCAATCAGCCCTAAAGTCTTCTCAATCCCATCAAGGTCATCAGTGGGAATTACCTGATCTCCCCATGTGATAGGAGAAAGTGCTCTAATCTCCAATAAGGCAATTTCACAGCATCACTTCTGAGGTATAAACCCTCTTGGACTTTATTTGGCCCAGACATTTGCCTTTCCAAGAGGGATCATTTGTCTGAGGCAAAGAGGTCACTTGAAACTTTTCCAGAAACAGGTATGAAGTGGTAACTCCCTAAACAAAACAGGTTTAATACGATTTAGTACCAAGTCTGCTCTAATCATAATTACTTTCTCCAGAGCACACAACTGAAAATTCTAATCACAGCCCTCTGCCTTTCTGTTAATTAACTGCTGCAGACAAGTTATGCCTTAAGAATTTCATGGCACTTAGACAAGCACTGTGAAAATTACAGGGAAGAGTGAAGATGAACATCATGCAGGCCTCTGCACAGTTTGTTTTCCAGTATAGGTTTTACAGATCTTCCTCATATTCTGATTTCATTTTTTCAATGTCCTTTTATATTGATGCCCAAAAAGCTGCTGGTCAGAAAGTCTGGCTTGGTTTTTTTTTCCTACTGATTTTCAATATTATAAAGCATTTATTATCACAACACCTGAGGAACAGCATTCACTTTTAATCACTTTCTAAACTTCATTCTCTCAACCTTTGACTTCTCTCACCTAAATGAGGTAACCTGCCATTTTGACATTTACCTAAATTAAAAGGTAAAAAGGGAGTTAAAAATCTCCAAATTCAAAGCTTTTCACATTTTCAAAGAAATGTATGCATCTGAAATCTTGAAGTCTTTCTACAGAGAATTCTTCCATTTTCTCCCTTCTACAAACCACAGTTCTCCCAACAAACTCTTTCCAGAGCAGTTCAGCCAGACTTTCACCAGCAAGAAGCTGTGACAGTGTCACACCCTGAACTCAGAGTAACCTCTGAGAAATGCCTGGATGGCTCAGTCCCTGGGAAGGGCACCACATCCCCATGAGGGTGGTTCAGCAATCACTTAACAATTCATGCCACCAAACAGTTGTTGATTAATAAAGCCTTTAATTCATAACCAGTTAATATGCGACAAAAGGAAAAGGGGGATTTCAATATGCAAGTATTTAAAACATTTACAGATACCTTTTTCCAATGAAAAGTGCAAGAACCAATGAGGTAAATTACCCTCTCATCGTGTCTCAGCCAGCTGTAGTATCAACAGCCTTCAAGCACCCTTATTTTGAAAAGCCAGAGCTGCTGTGTAAACCTACTGAAGCACAGCCAGCCAACAGACCATTCACTGTTTGTATATTTGCTTTGGACTGTTTAAAGAAGCAATATTAGCCCTTTCATCTGAGACAGGAAATATTTTTCATTTCATAAAAACTAAATAAAATCACAAGTGACATGAGTTACTTGCTGCTCTGAGCAAGTAAGGTGCAGTTTTTCCTGACAATGTCTTTGTAAACGCTTTACAAAAGGTTAGTTT